GAAGCTCTGTAGTCAAAGACAAAAGGGGAACTATGGGAACAGTTCAAGCCTGTGTGGGCCAGGTGTGCCACACTCCTGCCTCCTGAGCAAGCTTGGAGACCATGCTAAGGCTGAGTAGGCTCGCCTAAGTGCATAGACACTGGGTCTAACAGGCTACACCTCCACCCCTAGTATGTGACTCCTTCACCTTGCCCAAGAAAAATCACCCCACTATATGTCTAGCCAATAAAATAAATGCTCCTCCCATGCTCCTCCCCCATGGTTGTCTACATGTAAGCTGTATAAGTCTGTGCATTTCCTAAATAAAGCGGAAGTGTTCCAGAAACCTTCCCAGAGTCTGCCTGGTGATTCCATGCCTTACCCTCCCAGTCTGAGCTCCTGAACTGAACACCACAGACCAAACAGCGGACGAAAACATTCTTGCTTTTTTAAAAGTTTGGCAAAATACATAAAATATTTAATTTTAAATCTTGGACATTTTTAAATTGTACATTTCAGAGGCATTGAGTTTCATTTGTAATGAATGTCATGCAACCATTACCATTATCCATTTTCAGAATTTATTACCACTCCAAATACAACCTTTATACCCATTAAACCAACCTCACCATTCTCTCTCTTCCTAGCCCTTTGTCACAATGTTCTACTTTCTGTCTCTATGCACTTGTCTGTTCCAGGCACTTCATGTAAGTACAGTCATGCAATATTTGTCTTTTTGTGTCTGGCTTGTTTCACTTGGCATAGTGTTTTCAAAGTTACCCATGTTATAGCAGTTATCAGAATTCCATCACCTTTTATGATGGGATAATAGCCCATTGTATGTATGCCTGCATCCATATTTCCTTGCAGTTGTACCTTATCCAAGGATATCTTCAATTTCCTCTTCAATCATCTACCTTCAAGACTCTGATCCAATTGCATGCCTCATGTAAACCTCCTCCAAGGAAGATAAAGGGGCCCAGGTCCCACCATCCTCTTCAGGGGCTCTCCCTGGTGACCTGAGGACCTCCCACTGGACTCCACCCCCCAGAGGCTCCCCAATATCCCATTGTGCCAAGCTGAGGACCAAGCCTTTAACTCATGGCCTTTGGAAGAAACTTAAGACCCTAATGCAAAGGCCTGGCTGCCTCATCTTTGCACGATCACAATTGCTGGAACATTTTGTATAGCTTCCAAGGATGTCTTACCCTTGTAATTTATCATTTTGCACTGAACCCCAAGCAGAATAAGACCATCAATGACCTGGAATTTTGAGTCTGCAAGAAGCCCAACAAGAAAGCCATGGAATCTACCAAAAGAGAGGGGCCCAAGAGACAGATGACAGCAGGTAAGCAAGGAAGAGTACCCTAAGTATAGCAAATTGGGTGGAAATCTATGAAAAGTACAAAGAATGCAACTCTCCACCACAGGACCCAGCTACAGAATACAGTGAACCAGCAGCAGGAGTGGAGTTGCTGTGTGTGGTTGATTTGAGAAAATAACTTGCTAAATTGAGTGTAGATTTTAGTTGCAGGACATTAAGAGGAGCATCACCATCCTATCTATCCTCAGCGTACTGACACTCTCACTCCCACCAGCAGCAGAGACTGCTGAGAGACTGTGCATGTACTCAATACCCTAATTCCACTCTCAAATGCACGCTTCTGACATTCTGAGAAGCATCATACAGCCTACAGTGACAAGTGATCATGTGGACCATGTGCGAGAGGCCTTCTGACACGTGCCGAGGATGCTTGCCCTGCATTTTCATGGTCTCCTGCAGCTTCTCCTCCCCATAGCACCTCCATGCACAACCCTTGACTGATTCCCACAAGATAAATTATACCCATCAGCACCATTCACAGGCCTCACCAGTGACCCCACATGACACTAACATTAGAATAGAAGTTCTTTTCAAGGATTCATACTAGCCACTGTGGAGGAGGCTGAAGGACAGCTTGGGCTGTTTAATGAGACAGTCCCTCAAATTAAAGGAGCCCTGTGTTATATCTACAGAACCTCAAATAAACAAATGTATGTATGTATGTATGCATGTATGTACTTGTCTGCCATGTGTGAGACCCTAGTGTAGGTGCGATCTTTGCTGGAACAAGCTAGAAAAGACCCCTGCCCTCTTGGTGCTCGAGTTCTATGACACACTGTATTCCTGAGGATCTTGTCTGTCCAACTACCCACTCTGTCTGCCCTGCCCTTCCCCCTTTCTCCAGTCACATGGAACCTCCGGCAGGTGCTCCCACTGTTTCTTTTGTCAGGAAACCTTTCTCCCTCTACAAGCAACTAATTCCTTCTGTGCCACACAGGTCATGCAGGGCAGATCCCTGCCCACGAACACTTTCCCATGACCCCTGGGGTCTTGTACCCCAAACCCAGACCCCTAGGCACACATGCTTCCATCCTGGTCTTGGGGCAGGAATGCATCTTAATCTGTGCTTATGATTTTCCACCAGATAAATATTTTCTCATTTGGGGCCATCAGCATCTGTCTCCTCCCCTCTGCTCTTGCTATGTCCCTCACCCTTCCTGAGGGTAACACAGGTCAGTCAGATTCCACATACTCAATCCAAGCAGAGGGCAGAGCCTTCCCCCAGGGTTACTCTCAATCCCTTTCTCCTGAGCACAATTACTAACGTAGATGAGACAACCAGATCCAAGCCAGTCCCACTGCACTGGAACCAGAAATGCTGTGGTCCTGGCTGGGGGAGGAGCTCAGAGCCCACAGGAAGGATGTGCCCTTCAGACACACTGCTGGCCCCCTGGCCATCACAGAGGGGAAGCCGGTCTGAGGACACAGACAAGACAAAGGTGGCGGAGGGCAGGGCTGGGTTCTGACAACCTGTTTAAGGCCTGGACTCACTGTCTTAGTTATTTTCTCATTGCTGAGACACAATAACCGACACCTACATCTTTGGCTTGCAGTTTGTACAGAGATTCCAGGCCAGAATCAGCTGGGTCCCAAGGCAGGAGGGTGGCATGGCAGAGTGGAACCACCCACAATCAGGTAGCCAGGAAGCTAAGAGAGATCAAGGGAGGAGGGAGGGAGTAGACCCTTCCAGGCCGCACCCCCAGTGACCAGCCTTCACCTCCCAACATCACAATTAGCTGTAAACTCATCCACAGACCAATACACTGATGAGTATCATTCATGCTCGCTCCATTCACCTCCCAAAGCCCTACCTATGAGAGCATGAGGCTTTGGGGGGACATTGAGATACAAATCATAACAGTTACAAAAGCCAAAACAACTGCCACCCCTACCCCAAGGAAGTCTGGGCTGGGCTTTTTACCCTGAAAAATGCACCGCCCTCCGAGACTTAAATAGCTGTCTATAAACCACTACCAGGTTCTGTCTTCGTTCACTTTCCTCAGCATTTTTGTGAAAAGCAGAATTTTCCCAAAAGAAACCCTTGGTTTTGTTTGTAAGAGCTTAGAGTCACACACTAGGTAGAATCTCAGAAAGGAGACCAAAACTAGTTACTGTTTTGGAGGCGGGGGCAGAATGCATAAAGTTTAGAGAGTTTGCCAGGGGATCAAGAAAGAGCTGGTGTGTCTCCAAGGGAACTACGAAAATGTGAGCCCATCTAAAACATGACCAGCTCCCAAAACAACCCCAAGGGAAACGGGGCTATTTTGATATTCCTCATGGTTTTTGCTTTATCCGAAGAACCCTTGCACTCTCCCCAGATTTGACTCAACTTTCCGAAATAACTACAGTAATTGTATAAGCTGTGGTTCCGAGGGAGAAAACATCAGTTAGCCTTTAAAACAGGAATGCGTCAGAACGTGCCCCCACCCCCACACCCACTGCATACACATGCTTGTGGTTGTGTTTAAATTCTGCTGATGAATGTAAGGCTGCAAGAGAAACTGTAGATTCCTCGGAAAGTAGGCAGTTGTATGATAGGCAACCTAAGAAAGAGGGCCTATCCACCTTTGGGACCAAGAAAGTAAATAATTTAGAAATTATTTACCATGGAATCAGTGTGACCCATGTTTTATTCACTTAGAAGTCAAAGCATTGACAACAAGATGTACTAGGGAACAAAAACTCATACTGTAGCCTCTTATTACTTTGCCCAGCAGGCCTTGGAGGGGTTTCTGCGCATTCCTCAAAGACAGAAACCATAGAATGTTCTGCTGTGGGCATCAGGGACACCCCTCTGCCTGCACATTTACATGCACATACACATCCGTGGAAAACTCTGCTGCAAGGGTTACCTAGCTGCATGGACTTTGAAGGTAACAGACACTTCCTAGCTGTATTTTGGGCATAACTGGACCCTCTCACACCTCACTTTTCTCATCAGCAAATGATGCCTTTTAGATTGCTACAGGGACTAAATAAAAGTATCCACCAAAAAAAAACCCTTAATTTAAGGCATACTGTGCACAGTAACAGTTAAAACTGAGTTCTGGGTTTTATCTTAATGATGGACTTTATGAACATGGGGTCATTCTGTGGAGCTACCAGCTTTTACTGTAGAAAATGCCATTGCCTTCATTGAGCTTATGAAGAACCTGAGCTACAGTCCTGCAAATTCAACACCATAAACACAACCATGAGTTGAACTCCTTTAGTCAGGAAGAAAAGGCTTATCATGTTCCTGGACCTGAAAAGTGGACAGAGTTTGTGCACACAGTTGACTCAAGATGGTCAGGGCCACTGAGGGCGGGAACACGGTCTGATTCTGCTACAAACTTCCTGGCAGCTTCTAGGTCACTGAATCTGAACGTCCTGGTGTGTCCCATGAGGAGATTTTACTAGACTCACGACCATGCTAAATAGCAAAATCATCCAAGGAATTAAAAAAAAAAAAATCTCTGGTGCCTCCAGGGAGTGTGGTCTAACTACTTGGGTCAGCCATGGCATGGAAATCTCAGAAAGCTCCCCAGGTCCTAACGTACAAGCAAGGTTGAGAACCACGAGACTGACTCATCCCTAAGACATAAGATCACCCAATTCCATGTGCATGAACAAGACCATAAAAGGAAAGGAGAAATACCTGCAGCAGAATCGTGTTGCCGTCATAGTCCTGGGTCTGCCACCGGCTGCTGCTGATGGGGACACAGGGATTGGGTAGAAGAGCCACCAGCTGGCCAATCTCTTGAACCCTGAACTGGAGCACAGAAGACTCTTTGGGGTCCACTGCCACCCCCAGGGGCAGCTGCTTCAGGGAGAGCTGCAGGGAGAAGCTCTTGGTGGCATAGAGCACAAAGAAACAAAAGTTGCTCTTCTGCAGAGTGGCTTCCCTCTGCAGGATCATCTCGTACAGCCTGATGGTGTCCTCGTAGTTGTCAAAGCTGCAGTACAGCGTCACCCTGAGGAGCTCAGGGCCACAGTGCACCTGCTTCACGCCCCACACAGGCATCTGGCTGTCCAAGCTGTAGAACTCCTGGCTGGCAAGGAGGTAAGGACACAGTCTCCCCTGGGTGTCCTGGAGAGGGTAACACTGCCAGGGAGGCTGCCGCAGGGACTGCAGGGCACGGAACAGCCGCTCCTCTCCGAGGCTTTCATGCAGGAAGAGCAAAACAGACATACCTGGGAACCGGGAACGCCGAGGGTGGCACTTTTCATAATATTTCACTGGTCTAACCCGCTCGGACACCAGGAAGAGGCGCACCTTTGGGCAGATGTAATCCAGGAGCCGGTCCAGAGCCTGCTGGAGGGGCGGGCCGTGGCCAGAGTCAGCGAGGAGGTGGACAGTCATGGGCAGAGGCTCCTGCATCTCCTCCACGGTGAAACCGCTTGGGGAGCCTGCTGCCCTCCAGAAGACCGTCAGCTGCGGGGGTCACTGTGCTCCTGGCTGCCGGAGATGATGGAGGAGAGACCGTCTCCCGAGCTTCGGTTCTGCAGACAGCAGTGGCTCCGAGTCACCCAGCCTGCGCAGACTGTCACTGCTTGTCTGGCTTTTTCAGGCACTCCCCCAGGGTTTCTGTTTGACCTAAAAACCTACAGTCCTGAGAACCACCCAAGTGGGTGGTTCCTACAGACACTCAGGAAGGGAAGTGACCAGAAGAAAGGGCGGCTGTTAGGCCGATAGCCATGGGTCCTGGGCTCTGATTTCCTGCTCCCCTCTCCCGGTGTTTACAGCAGCCTGCCAGGCCACCAGAGCACAATGACTCGGGTAAAACAATCCTCAAAACTTGTCTCCTCGCCAGGTTTCCACCCACTTCTTTTTGTCTTTTTTTTTTTCTTTTGGTTTATTTTGGTTTTCAATATTTTGTGCTAGGACATGAAGAGAAGATATTAGATCCAAATAATTTTGACTTTACTGAAAAATGATTTGCTCTATTGCAGAGTCTGAATGTACTAAAGAAGGCATCGGGAGTGGAAAGGAATGAAAAAAGAAGATATATTATGTTCTTGTATTGATGAATGGGATCATTATGTACAGTACTACAAACAAAAAATAAACATAAAATATAAAAATAAACCAAAAGGTATTGAGAAAGTAAATCACCTTTGATTCCTATGAATGCTTTAGAAAGAATGAGCTCTCTAGTGTCAACTTCTTATATCTTTGGGGATCTACTATGCACTACCCTAAAACTTTTTTAACTACCTTAAAACTTTTTTATAAATTGATTAATCATCCAACAAAACTAAGAAGGATAAATCGTCCTCAATTGCCAATGAAGAAACAGTCCTAGAAAAGCTAAGTAACCTTTCCCAAATCTCACAGCCAGGAAGTAGCTGAGGGAAGATTTGAACCCAGAAACTAAGAGGCCCACAGGCTGCACTGGCTGCCTGGGGTCTGGAAATCCCAACCTAGATTTCTTTCTTATTGATAAGGAAAGGATGATGCCACAGCACATTCAAGGTGACACATTTTTGCCAGAGCCTGTGTAGCTAAGACTTATATTGAATGATCTTCAGTAAGAATGTCTGCCGTGCAAGATGACACATGTGGCAGACCAGTGACAGGGAGAACAGAATTCACCAAGGCGAGGATATGAAGGGAGATAAGAGTTCATTCAGGTCAGAGTACATCATCCAGGGGGACAGCAGGCAATTCCAACAGAGGAAATCAGGGTAACAGATGGGGTTTTTGTAAGAGTTTGAGAATGTAGGAAAGGGACCAGACGGCAAATGTGATTATCTAAAGAATATCTTTTTCAAACTCATCTGTGCTCCTTGCAGATCCAGGCGCAGCTGCATTGTGACTGAAATTATATTAGAAAGTTGCAGTTTGGCAGGAGCATTTCCTCCAGCCTCAGGGAAGGCTTCAATTTCCAATGAGACCCACTCACATTAGCTTTTAGGGAAGATCCATCAGGGCTTTTTGGGAAGAATGAATGGTCTGACGTCAAAGATTTGTTTTCAACTTGTATAGTTTTGGACAGTGTCACCATATTTATCATTTTTTCATTACTACCTGTTTGCAGCACACAATGTTCACATTCCTCCTGTGGGTGTTTATGGTAGCACAACTCATACTAGCTAAATCTTGGAAGCAGGCTATAAACCCATCAATAGATGAGTGGATAAAGAAAATGTGGCATTTATACACAATGAGGTACTACTCTGCCATAAAGAAGGTTGTTCTCAAGTCATTTGTAGGAAAATGGATGCATCTTCAGACCATAACATTGTTATGTTATCTTGCCTGTCTTATGACTGCTTGGAACAGGGCTGGGCAGGAGAAATTCTCCCGCTAATGGGCAGCCACAGCAAAGTAATATAATCCCCCTAATGTGTTCTAAATATCAATCTGAAAATCATTTTCTATCTCGATAGCTGTGCTCTTAAAAGGGTGTGGACAGGCACATTTTTCTAAATATAATTCTTTCGAAAAGAAGCAATGTGTTAATGCTACAATGGAACTCAGTGCAATTGAAATTTTTTAGAAATTAAACATTCTGGATAAAAATTATAAATAACTCTAATTGCATTTATATAGATTTCTTTAGTAGGACCAAATTTAAGGTAAAAACCTACTATAAAAGGGAAGGAATCATTTTTATTCAAATTTACTTTCTAAATTTATCTACAATTCTAATCATTTGCATTTCATACTTTTATGCTTCCTTCATTGGAAAAATATATGCAGTTTATTACACATGGCTTGCTTTTTAATTACAACTCAGTAATTAAATTCATTTGCTTCAAGTTTTTCAAAAAAATTAAAGTATTTTTAAAGCATTAGATCTCTCAATTTTTTTCCAACTCTCAGTTCACATCACACACTGGCATTTGCAGGCAATAACTTTTTTTTCACATCTCACAACAAACCCATCTTCTCTCCCTTGTTCTTTCATTTACAGAGCTGACTGTCCCAGAACACTGTAAGCAAAACCATGATTTTGAAATTCTAGAAATAATAAAAATAACCCTAAAATCTTGAAGAGAAAAATTGTACCCACGAGACAAAAATATTACCTCTCAACATTTTGTTCAAGGCAAATATGCAAGACCTTATGTAGGGAGAAAAGGTTTTGCTTTTCTGGATTCATCTTTTATCCCATGCCAAAAGCATCCTTTTTTTCCTCTTGGAGTTATCATTTCTGTCAGAATTTTAAATATTTTATCGATCTGTTTACCGCTAAGAAATCAAGGACAGCAGGGAGGGTGACAGGGGACCAGCAGTGTCCTGACACTGTCCACTGTCACCTCTCCAGGAACGTGTGAAACTCAGAACACGAAGCCTCTGCCCTGCTGGGTGTCGCCCCCTTCACCCACCACAGACGCCAGCTTTACATCTGTGCTTCACAGGGGCTTTATTTTTGCTCGAAACCTGAGCAGTTTGTCACTGTGCTTCCCTTTGGAGGAGCACCGGAAATGATGTCACCAGAGTCAGGACACAGAGCACTGGCAATCAGATGCTGTGGACCCCCAGGAGGAGCCAGCAGGGCCTTGTAGCACCTAGGTCCAGCTTTGGCTTCTATTCAGTCAACAGAACCACAGGAGAGACAGCTTGGAAAAGGAAACAATGCTTTGTGGAACCATGGACGACAACAGCAACTGTGGAAACCAGGAGATGGGCCTGTCAGCTGCGGACGCAGGAGGATGGCTGCAGCGGCCAGTGCACAGGGGCCCCCGGGGCTCCTTACAGGAGTCTGGTTGAGGCTGTCCCCCCAGATACACAGGACAGGAGAAACGGAGCAGCGGGGAGTGCGGGTGAGGGGTGCGGTGAGACACTGGACGCATCTGGGACACCAGAGTGCGGGGGGGGTCCTGTAGCCGGTTCCCTTACAGTCCAGAGGACAGGGACTGGGGAAACCCTGGTCGTTACGGGCCATGATCACCCACAAAGAGAATACAGGATGCCCACAGGACAAGGGAGAAGACAGGACCCTGGGAGCACTCAGGGTAAGTGACAAGCGACGCTGCAGTGGCACTAAGAGAGGAGCAGAGGAGGAAGACGGCATCCTACCCTGTGGGCGGACAAGGACCTTGGGATGTGGAGATCATTGCTTAGTGAGACTCTGTCTCCTCAGGAAAACTCGGAAGGTGAAGCTGCCGCCACGCAGACCCCAGAGTCACGCAGCCTCGGCTTTCTGTGCTCCCAAAGGAAAATGACCCGGTTGCTGCGTTTGACCCTGCACGGCCACCCAGAGCTGGGCGATGCAGAACCTGCGGCTTCTCCACCTTTCCTAAGGGAACAAAATGCAGCAGCTGTAGCTGCTCAGGGGAAGCTCTTGAAGGGCAGGATACACAAAAGGAGAAGACGATAGGGTTATGTACCAGCCCTACCGCATTTTTGTGCCCCGTGCTTTGGGCCCCGCTGGCTAACGTGGGCTTCGCTATCTTAGCCAGTCCACCTCCCAGCCACCCACACACGCACACGCATGCACCCTTGGGTCACCGCAGGAGAGATTCGGCAGGAATCGCAGCAGGACTGAAAGCCCAATCCCCCTAGGCTCCTATGGGGCAGAGGTGAGGAAGGAGGCAGTGGCCAAAGGAAGCTCCTTCTCCAAGCTGCTGTAGCTCTTAGCTGAATGCCTCTCTCGGCTCCCCAGGGGACACCTCCTGCTCACCCCAAACAATACTATCAAGTTCTTATTAAACTGCCATCTGTTTCCCCTTTTCCAGAACAATGCAGCCCAGGAGTAGCTTGTGAGCTGATTCTCACTGGGGTCCCCACAGGTGCACGCAAAGAGCAAAGAGTGACGTTTCCTGCCGGCTTTGCTGCAGTCTCAGCTGTGACTTCTTTCCCATGCTCTGGCCTTCCGCCCTTCACCTCCCTCCACTGTGGGCATCCAGAAGGGACCTGAGCTCCTCACACTTGGCTTCATCATCCGCGGAAGAGAAGAAGTCACAGCGGGAATGCCTGACCTTACGCTAGCAGTGGAGAACATCTCACAGGAATGCAAAGACCATGGAGGGCCTTCCGGCTCTCACTTAGACTCTGGTGCAGTCATCTCAGCTCGGGACAGTTTACATTTCGTGTGGTTTTACCCTCCTCTAAAAAAATTCAGTAAGTAGGGTAGGGGATAGATAAATAAATTAAAATACACTATATCCACGGAACACTATGTCCCGAGTTCGATCCCCTGTAGAGAGAGTACATATCCTGTACTGCACACAGGCCCTCCCAGGTCTAACTCTGGAGAAATCCTCTCCCATGCGCACAAAAGAAGCCAGGTGCGAGAGTGTTTACAGCTGCATTGGTTGAAACAGTCAAAAATGGAAGGGGAGGGGCTGGGGATTTAGCTCAGTGGTGTCCAAGTGCAAGGTCCCGAGTTCGATCCCTGGTATCTCCCCTCCCCGCAAAAAAGAAAGGGTAGAGTTTGGGCTACTGGGCACCGCCACCTTCTCACGGTGACATGCTCAACATTAAGGGAAATG